TTAGGAAAAAGGCAATTACAAATGCATATTGCTTTTAGGGTATTTTTTGGTCTGTTTTTGATGGACCACTGAATTGCTTTGTGACTTGACCCAAAACCTTTTATGACTCCTTGAGGAACATAGAATGTGCAACTGCCTGACCAAACATAAATTTTCCCTACTTATGGGATACCAGATGTTATCTGTACAGAACTTATTCTGGCCTTTGCTGGGTGGGTTACTGATGAGTGACAAAGAAGGAATAAATATATAATTCAGTGTGTCTTTCTTGCTAAATTTTGACTTCATTTAACCAAAAAACATGGAGCAAACATCTACCTAGGATGAGAGAGGAGAAGCAGCTTTATAACAGCTTGTTAAAGGAAACAGTTTCTGCTAAATGTAACATCTCTCTTGACTGGAATTTTCTTTCTGAAATATACTTTGCTGCAGTGACGGTGTAAGTTAGAAAGGCTGACTTAGACAGAAGCTGTTTTTTTCCGGTAAATGACAGACTCACAGGCCTGGCTGCTGTCCAGCCAGTGCAGGACAGTACACTAAAAACTGCTGGGTTAGTTCTTTAACCCCCAATGCTGGGTTTATACGGTTTGGTGTTTCTAACCAAACATTAAGTCAAAACCTGTCAACCAGTATGCTAGATTAAAGCAGAGACAGGAAGGAGGCTTATTAGTATTCATAGATCAATCTTTTTTAACCAAGATAAAACCTTAATTTGAATAGACTTCATTAAGCCTCATCTACAGGAGGAAAAAATTCATTTGTAAAATCTAAGTAGGTTAGGTTAATTACTTATTACAAGAAAATTGGTCTGTTCACATATTTACGTCATGATCATTGCCCTTATACCTGACCTTATTGCTCATTTCCCTCACCTGCCCTGTTACTAATCATTCATCTTGTCTTCCTGCTCCTGCTGATTTATATACATCTATGCCCAGCTATCGGGGCCAGATCATTGTTGCTGTTTCTGACTTTCGTTTTGAGTTTGATATTGAGTTTATAGCTCATGTTTTTTGTTCATGTTCCCATTCTCGTAGGCCAGTGGTGAAAGAGGGTTTAGTCTTGTCGTAGTGTTCCTGAAAGTAGTCAAATTTTATAGTACCGGGGTTTTCGCGGTGTTCCTGGCCATAATCAGGTTTTACAGTACCGTAAGTTTCCTGTTTTAATGCCTTGTTCTGCCTCTAAACTACTGAGCTTGCCTGTTCCCATCTGAATGTTCTGCCTGACCTCTCTGTTGGACTCATGGAACCCTGAACCAGCCTGAAAGCTCTGTGGATTCCTGGAACCGTCTGTTCCTGTTCTGAGTGGAACCCCTGACCAGGCTACGGATTCCTGGATCTCAGAACCCTCCTTTTCATAACAGTTTCCTTGACCTGGCTCGGCTCCTGCCTGCTCACTGGGGCTGCTGCATCGGGTTTCACTATGGGCGGCATCTGCCGCATCTCGTTGGCAGTCCATCGGCTGGATCCTGCTGCGCTCTAAGGAGTTGGACTGAACCGTTAAACCAGAGTGCCAGTAATGGGTGGTGCAAATTACTGGCCGGATATTTGGTCCTAAGTTCTGAGTTCATTACAATTTAACTAAATATTACCCTTTACCTGTTAATTGATTGGGCTGCTTGGGGATGCCAGCACTGTTGTAAAATTCCTTTGTATAGCCTATATCAGCGCTAAGGCAATTCAAAGTGCTTTACATCATAAAACATTTATAATAATTTAATCATTTCCTTTATATAACCAGATTAAAAACTCTCACTTGAGTGTGACCTGGCGAAAAGGGCAGGAAGTTATGATAGTAAAAGAGAATTATGCAATCATACACAGCTACATAAAAAAATAAAAGCATACAAAATATTTCTATCAAATAAGCAACAAAGAATAAAATATGAAAATAAAGAAAACACTCACTGAGCAAGAGCAGTTCCCAATTTAATTTACAATTGATTTAATTTCTCCAAATCTGATAAGATGGTCCAGTTCAGATCTTTTTGCAGATTATTCTAAAGGAAAGGGGCAGCATGTTCAAATGCTGCTTTCCCCAGTTCTATTCGGACTACCTTTTGAAGGGTTTGCTGGGAATGCAAGACATACGGCAATTTGTTTTTATACATTTATTCTTATACAGAGGTAAAATGGGAGGAGTATAATTATTATTATTATTATTATTATAAAAAAAAACAACATAAACCAGTGTGAGATTCTAGGGACATACAGAGATGGATACTCAGCAACAGCATACAGAGTACAATGGTGAACACGATTTCCACAACCAATGATAAAAGGCAGGGCAACATGGTACATGATGCAGTTTCTCAAGGTGTTGTAAAGGTGCTTTCATACAAAAAAGATCAACATAATCTAACCGAGGTAAGAAATTTGCAGAAATCAGAAAATCAATTTTAGCTTCAACTAACAAATCCTTTAATATGTGTCTTAAAAGATACATAAAAGGTTTTTTTTACATTTATATTACCCAAGTACCAGTAAGTCAACACTAACTAAATCTCTGAACAGTCAGTTGTTTAAATGTAGGGACAAATACAGGGTAAATGTTAACATCTGAACAAATATAAAGTAAAATCATTAAAAACACACATGAAACCCTCAAAATATTGCAATTACTACACAAAATCATAAAAACTATCAACCATATACCCATGATAATCATACAGAGATGGTCAATGTGTAACAAGATATTTTGTTTAGAGCATTTTTTCACTTGCATTTTTTCGCTTGCATTTTTTTGTGGACTAATCTCCAATGGTTTGGACTAATTGGATGTCTTGAACTGTGGATGGCTTACACTAATGTCTTGGAGGAGGACTACCCTGGGTTGGAATTTCCAATTGGCATTTTTATTTCAGAGAAAATCTAAGACTTTGTTCAGAGATAGGTTGTAGATAACTAAGGAGTAAAATACTCTAATCAGCCATGTTTTGATATGTGTAACATAAGGTTCCATTCTTGGTTCATGGTTTTCTAGCAGGCTTATTCTGGATTTTTCAAAGAAGGCAGATTTAGCGCTGGTAGCTGACATTCTGGATGCGCTCTTAGGTAGACGATCTGTCCAGCTATGAGAGGCACAGCTTACTGCTGGTGTTTGTTTACATCTTCTCCCTGTGCACATCTGGGTTCTCCAGCTTCCTCCCAAAGACAGCCCCACCCAGAGATCTGCAAAAATGAATTGGGTTCAGACTATTGATAGGTTTTTACTTTAAGCCACTATCAACGTGGGGGGGTTGAGGTTGCTTGAGGACCCAAATGCAGAGATGAATGAGTCAGTGAGGAGTTCTTGTAGGTTTACTGGAGAAAAACTGAGGCAAACATCCAAGAACATAAAAATACTGAGAACCAATAACCAGCAAACATGGGGGAAACTCATGAGCGGAGCCAAAGACGAAGAAGCAACAAACAATAAGGAACCAGTACTGAAGAACTGCACATGGGGGGTATATATGGCTACGTTCACGCTGCAGGCCTTAATGCTCAATTCCGATTTTTTTTTGGTGAAATGCGATTTTTCGCATTGCCGTTCACATTTGCAAATATATGCGACTTGTATGTGATCTCCTGTGTAAACTGCATTCATACAACGCAAGTGTTTCGCATGCTCAGCAGAGGATGCAATGACATCACAGGCCAGCGTGCTCTATGTTTACAGAAAAAAGCATGGATGGTAGCGCTGGAGCACATCTAGCGATCTTTGCCAACCATAAAAACATAATCTTTTCAAGATGGTTAAACATAAATACTGCTTTCCACATCATCGTTCACCATGGTTGTTGTTTTTCTTGCCACTAAGCATAGTAAGACCCAGAATAGTGACCTTTGCTGAGTATTAATGACACAGATTCCGACAATCAGTTCCGACAATTCTTATCAGATTCAGGACCACATAGCCAACTGGCCTGGGTCGCGTTGGAAAAAGTTGGATCTATGTTGTTCAGACAGCCAAGAAGAGATCAGATCCAGATTGCAAAAAATCGGATTTGGGTCACTTCAGTCTGCAGTGTGAACTTAGCCTCTGGGAGACAGAACAAAGACTGGGGTAATCAATTCAATTCAATTCAGTTTTTTTATATAGCGCCAATTCACAACACAAGTCATCTTAAGGCACTTTACAGTTCAACCAGATCATACAGTCAATTTGATTCAAAGTATTCTATCTAAGGAATACCTGTTAAATGCATCATCTCATTGACTCGAATGCAATCTCTCACACTAAGCATGCTTGTAGCGACAGTAGAGAGGAAAAACTCCCTTTTAACAGGAAACCTCAAGCAGAACTAGGCTCAGTGTGAGCGGCCATCTGCTGAGGCCAACTGGGGTTCAAGGAGACAGAAGCAGAGATACAAAAAGCAGCTGTTAAAGGCGGCCCAGTCCAGGAAACACACAGCCAGGCAGACGAGCACCGAGCCAGCTCCCATGCCAGAGGATAAAGAGAGCACATCCAGCCAGTCACGGGCAGAGAAACAGGACTACACTGGAAAACAGGACGATCTCCAGCATCTGTAAACAAGAGCGTTGATGGAAGCAGCACAGCTGATAATCAACTGATATGGAGCAGGTGTGGATGGAAGAGACTAGAAGGGAGCTAGAGGAAAAGAGACAGGCACAAGGGGGCAACAGAGAGTAACTTGAGACTGCTTGATTGTTATTGAAAATAAACCAAAGATTAACAAAAGAGAATAACTGATGACTTAAAACTAAAAACTGAGTCCTAAAAGGGGAGAACCATAACAGCCACTACTTTATATTAATGTTTCTTTTTTGTTGTGGTTGTTGTTGTTTTTTTTTTTTTGCGAGAAAATGTGATTTATCATTTGAAGACAATTTTTTATCAAAAGCCTAATCCAGAGGATAAAATGTTTCCATGTTTAACCCACATTGGTTTGTTCTGAACCCAGCCTTTTTCAGAGTGTAGAGAGAGGAGTGGCAGCCATCCAAAGCAGGGAGCAGAGGAGGCTGTGCCTTTAAGCGCCTCAGTGTGAGTGAGCTTCACCAGGAGGGAGTCAGAGTCTACTGAAGTCCATCACCGCCGCTGTGCGCTCCTCTCTCTGGATGGACCTGTCCTCTATCTTTATACCCGTGGACTGAATCAGCGGTTTGCCACCGCGGGATGGTTATTTACGCGCTTGAAACGCATGGAATAAAGTAAAAAGACGCCTAAATTATCTAATAATGAGGTCCCCCTGGGTCGTTTGTGCCTCATATCTAATCTTCCTCCCCTTTACAGGTAAGAAAAACACTTTTGATGAGTACAGTTGGGCTTCACAACGCCCGAAAGGATTATTTTTGTCTCACACTTATAGAAACTCTGCTTATTTAGCGCGCAAGTTATCAGTTCTTTATATTTATCTTATCCTTCGAAATCAAAGTCAGAGTTCAGCTTTATATTTATGAGACAGCACATAAAAGGCCATTAAAACTGTAACAGACTTATGCAAATTTGTGCGTAACTTCCATTTTCCACGGAAGGAGAGTTAACAGTTCCCACATTGTTCCTGGAGAGGAAAGGCTGTTAACCATGTTTTCCCTTAACCTGTTTGTCTCAGATCATATCTCAGGGCTCATTTGCATATATATATATATATATATATATATATATATATATATATATATATATATATATATATATATATATGATGTCCAACAAATGCTTTTTCTTAAACACCCTTTTCCAAACGGCAACAGGTGCGTCCCTTCGCTTCTCTTGGTTGTAAAAACATTAATTATTAAGGCTGTTCCCTCCGATATGACAGGGATTAGGTTGTGCGAGCAGAACAAACAAAAAACAACGCACACAAACGCACCATGTAACCGACAACTCAGCTCCCTTCACTGGATAGCACCTGCGTAATCTCTCCATACCAATTCCTCATGACTGTTTCTCTGTTTACTTTGGTTGTATTTGAGTAATTCTATGAAAAATGGAGGTGGATGAAAAGACTCAAATTCCACGTGTGATTTATTTTCTCTTGCGTTTTATCGTTTCTAATCTTCTTTAGTCCACATCTCTAAATATAAGTGGTAGGTTTTGCGAAATAGTTGTTTCGTAATTAAAATGTATGCATAGAAACGGTCACATATAAAAATAATAGCAATAATAATAAAGTGCGTAACAAAGCTCGGATGACGCATATTTAGTCCTTTTTGCAAATGTGGTCGTTTTATAAAATCACATTTTAGATGGGAAATAACATGGTCTGCCACAGGATATGCTGCCTATTTCAAGCCTTCAGGATTAAATTCAATTCAGTTTATTTATATAGCATAAAGTCACAACACATGTCATCTCAAGGCACTTTACAGTTCAACAGAACATACAGTCAAATTGATTCAAAGTTTTCTATCAAAGGAAAACCAGTTGATTGCCCCTCACTCTAAGCATGCTTGCGGCGACAGTGGAGAGGAAAAACTCCCTTTTAACAGGAAGAAACCTCCAGCAGAACCAGGCTCAGTGTGAGCGGCCATCTGCTGAGGCCAACTGGGGTTCAAGGAGACAGAAGCAGAGTATTAATTATGTCGTACTTAAATGGTGGTTCTACGTTTTCAAGTAAAATTAGGTGATTAGCAGTTTTCCCCCCCTCCTTTGCGGTAGCAGGAGATTACTTTAAGTCATTTCAGGGGGTTATAATCATTTAATTAAAGTCAGTGTTCCCAAATAAGGTAAATAATCAGAAATAGAGAGCAATTTTAATAGATTTCAGAGAATGTAAAAAAAAAAAAAAAAAATTAATCCATTTATTTTCCCACAATGGGGTAATTTACTCTCTGCATTTTGACCCATGTCCTTGGGGAGCAGTGGGCTGCCATTGTGCGTTGCCCAGGGAGCAGTGTGGGGTTAAGGGTCTTTGCTCAGGGATCAAACCGGGTACCCTCAACCTTCTTAGTAGACAAGTGCAGTGCTCTAACCACTAGGCCAACGCTCCCCCTAATAAAACAATATACCGCGAAATCAAATTCTACTGTTAAGGGCTATTTTCTTTTGAACTTCATAGAAACATTAAACTGTTCATAGAAATGAACTTGGTTAAGTGCATGGGTACATAATGGCTTCTTCAAGGTAATAGGAAATAGGAGGTCTAAAAGGGCAATGTGAGGTCAGGAAAGGAGCAAATTGACCAACACCCAATCCCATCTTTTTGTTTTGGCAAACAAAAAAGCTATAAAACAAACAAACCGAAGAATGTTGACTTTAAAACTGCCTCAGGTTTTTACACAAAACCTTTAGCCTAAACGGCATATTTTTCCAAACAGGCCGATCAGCCGGGAGACATGCGCCCACTGCCAGAGTAAACACAGATAGTCTATTGATGTTTTGGAGGGAGAGCATCCAGATGCTCCGTCAGAGCTCCACTCCAGCCCTGAGGCAACACAGTCACATGAAAATCTTGCTCTTGAAATGCTGCTTATCATGTGAAAAATCTCTGGATGATGGGGGGCTTAACTGAAACTAAAAATGTTGGTTTAGGCTGTATTCATCTTTAAGGGATGGAAGGCAGGGGCTTTTATGCATGATTATCTACTCAGTGGCTGGATTACTCATAATTATTGATTGGTCAGTTGAGTTGCGGCGGTTAAAAAGCGCACGGTCCTAAACTGGCATTGTGCCAGATATAACATCCTATTTAACCATCACATTATAAAAGCTGCAATTAAATTTAATGTTAAAGACTCTCTTCAGTGAAAGCAGAAATACCAACCCTGATTCCTTTACAGCTTCTTAAGTCTATCACATTAGTGTACTCAAGCTTGTTTATTATGTTTTTATTGGTAACTAAAAAGTCTTTATCAGAGTGCATTGAACACATTTTTGTGCCACTTAACCTTATTTTCCCATTTTAGGGTTTATAACCATGAGTTTAAGTGCATTTTATTGAGATTTAATTTCATGGTCCAAAATTAAGTGGTGATAACCTGGGATTCTATCGCTCTGTAGATCTGTCCTTGATAGAAGCATGACAAGAGGGAAATCATTGCTGAAAACAGGCATAGTAATTATCATTAGCAGTTTGCCACAAGCTGTGAGGAGGACAAAGGAAAAACGTTAAAAAAGGAAAGTCTTCATATGAGACAGATAAATTAACTGTTCAGACAGTTTAAAAAAAATGCTGCGTGTGCTGGTAAACCACTGAAATCCTCGCTGGTGGCAGTGTCATGCTGTGGGATAGCTTTTCTTCAGAGAGTACAGAGACTGCTGTCTTAGTTAATAGGAAGATGGATGGAGCTAAGCACAAGGCCATCCTTGGACAGAACTTGACAGGTGCTATAAGACACCTGAGACTGCGGCAGAGGTTCAACTTTCAGCGGGACAACGCCCCATGGCATACAGCCTGAGCTGGGTTTGTTCTAAACATATGCAGGTATTAAAAGGCTTACTTACAATCCAAACATAAATCTATTTGAGTCTCGGAAAATATGACATGAACTTGTGCTCTCCATCAAATCCAGCTGAGTTTGAACAAACTAGCAAAAGAAGCAATTTTGCACCTGATGGTAATGTTATCCTCCACTCTACTTTCTCAGTAAAAGGCACTAAAGTTCCTCCTAAAGTTCCTCCTTCTTCTTCTGTTTAAGTGTGGAGCAAGCCTGCCATCTTCCCTGTTGGGCCTCACACCGTGGTTCCCAAGGGGGGTAAGCTGGAGCTGCGTTGCCATGACAACGCCACAGCATCAGGTCCCCCGTTCACATTGAGGTGGCAGAGGGAAAAGAATCGCAGGCTGGACGGGGAGGTGCAGGAGGGAAGGACAGCGTCTCTTAAAATTTCAGAGGTTAAGGGCCACCACATGGGTCTGTATGTTTGTGTTAACAACAGCACCTTGGAGCACAGCTCGATTTATGTTTATGTAAAAGGTGGGTGCTCAGAATAAGACATCTCATGTACCTCCTATAGCAGTATAGAGTTTTTAATCTAAGTTATCTCTCCAGACCCTCAGAATGCTTTTCAGCCCAAAATGGTGAACAACATGCAGGTGCGGACCGGTCAGGACCTCATCATCCCTTGTCTTGCGACCGACCCAAAGGTCACCAACCTGGCTTTGGAGACCTGCGATGGAAAACGTTTACCCTCAGGAATGACTTACAGCGGCCACCGACAGCGAGGGGTCATCATCAACAATGCCACCAAGGAGTTTGAGGGTTGTTACAGATGTGTGGGACAGCTGGGTGGATTCAAGGTCATGTCCAGCTCGTATTTCGTGGACGTTCAACCGGGTGAGTAAGAGATATGAAGCAAAAGAAAAGTGTAACATGTGGTTCATGTTGCCTGAAGGGCCTCACATTAGTATTCCAATTGGCAACGCTTCACTCGATTTGTCTCATGAGTGTTGATGAAGTTAGAAAGGAGAGAAGGGAACAGACTGAGTGCTCACTGTGTGTGATGCTCTAAAGGAATCCATTTTTGGAGATAGTAGCATCTACACTGTATTTCACTGGACAAAGAATATTGCTTCTTACCTTCAATCGAGGCATTCTCCATGATAAATGTTTCTTTTTAAAAGCCAAAGGTTTTCCTTTTTGCATATGGGCTGTGAGGAGGACTGCAGCTAAAATAAACAGTCCTGAAAGGGAAATTATGTTCTTTATCTTTATTTGCTCACCAAGTGTTCCACATACACCATTTATAAGATGAATTATGAGCTGTTGAACCAAAGGTTTATTCTATATTATAACATTTTAAGGTTGTTTTATAAATGCAAAAAAATAAAACAATTTTAAAAGCTAAAAAACAAAGGTTTAATCTGTGTGGTCTGGTAGCTGCCTGTTTTAAAAACGTAAATCTTTCACTATGATAGTTCAGTATCGAACTAAAACAGGGGATGTGAACAAATGTTTCCCTAAAATATCAGGAGAATTTTTTTCATTTGATTACCCTTATTTTGAGGGTGTATATGTTTAACCTATGTGCAATTTAAATACCTTGTAAGATTGTGAAATCATAACAATAACTGACAAAATAGTGAACAAAATCTTTACAATTATTATTATTATTTTTTAAGTGTGATTAGACAAAGAAGTATTTTTGTATTTCTTTTTTCTTGGTGTTAATTGCTTCCACACCTGAATCTTGTCCCACCAAAATAACTCCATCTGGTCAGTAATATTATTTGGAGTCAAAAAACGGTGATACATCTTATCTCATAGGTGTGGCTCATTGTTGTTCTTGGAGCTCATGTACCCATTTTTTTGCTTCAGCCCTAAAAGCTTTGTAAAAACTATAAAACTGGACTTTTTTGGGTCATCATACTTATGTATGGTTTGCTTAAAAATGGTCCTTTTAATGACCCGAGCTGTGGATCTCTACAGAGGTATCATAGACCTCTGGGCTGCTGCTCTGCTTACCTAAACAGCCATTTAAGGGTGATGGCTAGGGGTGGGTATTGGCAAAGAAGTCATGATTCGATTCGAATCACGATTCACATGCCACAATGCGATTCTATCACAATGCATCACGATACTTGAAATATTGCGATGCATCGCGATGCATTGCGATATTTTCACTGAACACTGTAAGAAAAAGATGCAGCCCTTACCAGTGGCTGACTGACTGGGTATGATCTGGATCGTGTCTTCAGTTGATACGAAACTTAAAGCAACAGAATTCATTCATAGCTGTATTTATTGAAATGACTTTAGGAGGTGTTGCCATGAAAACAAATACTGGACAGAAATATTGCTATTACTGGTGTGGACACACTGACAAAAAGATCTTAGGATTCATCAAACATAAAATAAAATAAGGATAATCAGTGCCGTTTACATAGCTTCAGTGGTCCTTTTGCAAATTACGTGCATCATATCAATTTCTTTTTTACCTTCTTTGTTTTTAAAGCCAGAATGCATCCAAGCATCTGACTTGAAATGTAATGGAGCCGGGGGGGGGAATTTTCTCAGTCTCCTCCATATTTTGTTTACGAATGACTCGTCTCAGTATCCCGCGGCCGGAAATGCTAGTGACACAAGGCAGCGGGCGTCAACACATCCGCAGCGAAATCTGCTGGACTGGAAGTTGTATTCCACTTGGTTTGGCTGATGTGCGCCAGCCATTAATGTATTTTATTTGTTAATTTTTTTTAATTTTTTATAATCGATTCTTGCCTTCAAGAATCGATGCAGTAGATCACAAAAATTAGAATCGCGATACATCGTCATGACGATTATTTTGCACACCCTTAGTGATGGCTATGTTTATTTTTATACCATAATAGCTGTGAAGTGGCATAGACCTTTAGCTTTTAGTGCCTTTTTAGCTGTTTTAGAATCAAGCTCTGCTTTAATTTTCTCTACAACGTTGTCCCTGCCCTGTCTTGGTCTTCATAATGCTGTTTATTTTTTAATCTTCACTAGCAAACATTGGTGGCCTTCAGAAAAGAGCTGGATTTATACTCCTAATGGCTAAAAAAGATTAAATATTAAGAAAACAAACCTTTAGACACAAGATCAATTAGACGATTTAATAACACTATGGTCAGATGTTGGATTAATAAGTAATTCCCTTATTGATGAATATAGAAAATGGATTGGCTGGATTCAAACTATAATCTATAGAGATGCAAGCAATGAAAAATGTAACTTTAAGAAGAATAAGCTGAAAGCGATGGCCCTCTCATCCTCAGCACTGAATCAACACTTGTTCTTCTCTCAAGAGGACTGTGTCTACATGGAGACAGGGAGTGTTGGGGAAGCACTGCGATGGTCTGCTTATGACTGATGGGGAGGAGAAGAGGAGACGTGTGGGAAGGAGGAGTCGAGGGATTTGAGCAAAGCTGTGAAGTTTGTGTTTAGGTTAAACAGAATTACTGCAGAATAACTGGGGTAAAAAAAAAAGAAAACAATAATGATCTGAGCTCCTTGGGCTGTTGATTGTAAAAATAAACCATGTCATTTATGAGCAAACAAGCGTCTGTGAACTCGCATACACTGAGCTTTTTGTGTGGCATCATGTGAGCACAAAGCACCGGTCACACCCACCCTGAGGATCATTTATCTTGGGTGTTAACATGATACCCATTTGTTACACTTTTAATGGGGAATACTTATGATAGCGGTTTCCTAATAAAGTATCCCAATAAAAAAATATTCCTCAGAGCCCATGAAATTGGCTAGATGTTTGCACACTAGTGTTGTGATCAAAATGTGCGAGCTTGTTTGACCTCACTAAAAGCACAGTTAAGATGTCGTTGCCTTTGTCTCCCCTGTTGCAGTCGCAGAATCGCCTCCAGTGATCAGCCTCTCCCAAAACGGCACCATCATCCTGAAAACAGGGGAACCATTTGAGCTTACCTGCAGCTCCAGCAATGTCAACTCAGACTTCAGTCTTAGATGGGATTTCCCTTCAGGAGCGGTAAGATGAATCTTCAAAGTATTTTATACACTTTTTTCACCTCTGATTGGGAGCAGGTGTGAAAAAGAGCAGAGGAGGAAAGAAGCTAGGAAAAAAAGGAGAACACAAGAGGGCAGCAGAGGGCAACAAATGAAAACCTGAAAACTGAAAATAACCAGAAAACACAACAAAATAAGAATTCAACCACTAAAAATAGAAAATATGGAGCAAAGTAAAACTGAAAACTCAAAAGAAAAACATAACAGAACCAGAACTATGACAGAACTATTGCATCTATAACATAGCAAACAACTGAAGTGTTATATTCAAGATGGATTTTGTGGATTATCAGAAGCAACCGGCATCCAGCTTAACTCAGACGCCATGTGGGGTGAAAGAAAATAAATAAATAAAAAATAAATAAATACAAGTACGAGCATGCGCTACAAGAATAAGCAGAAGTGTGCTGCAGTTCTGTATTTTGGCCAAAGGTGGCAGTATCATTAGAAATGCTACTTTAACCTGCATATCGCTATAATAAGGCTACTTTCCACCATTATGACAGCTCTGTATGACAGACTAGATCCTCCCAAGGATTAAAGAATAGCAGCAGATTTAATTTATGCCTTTTTAGCCACTTCTAAATAATTTTTGTTGATTTTGGTGCAACCAATTAACAGATTAATATTATAAATAGCATCTATATGTATTTTAAAACGTTAAGTTGTGCGATTAAAAGCAAAAAGGCTGGTAATTATCTGAAAGAACTGGTTATATATGAGGTTGTGCTAAATTTAGGTAAAAAATGGTTTGGGTGATATAAACAGCACTGATGTAGCATGTTTGATGTAAATTACTCACAGCTTCCCAAAGAGACCTGGACGTCAAACATCCTGCAGAGCTTTAAGGGGTATGTTCGTTCAGCCTTACTTGAAATCGCCGCCGTCAGCCATTCAGATTCTGGAATCTACCGCTGCCACGGCCACAACGAAAAAGGCCACAATGAAGCAACAGTGAAGCTGGACATCCGTGGTAAGTCTGACAGATGATACTTGGTTAACATACGTCTAGCTGATGAGTGCAGGCCCTTTAAGGCTACAGCCTCATTTTAAACGTAGGATCATTATGTTTCCAGAAACAAATCCTGTCCAGCAGAACTCGATCCTGCTGAAATATATCACAGACTCCAAGTGTCAGACTAATTTTCATATAATGCAAATTCCCAGTCAGAGCCTCAGGAAAGCATCTGTCACTACGTAAATAACCTTATGAGAGCACACTGTGATTATTTTTTTAAGACATGACTCAGCAAACTGAAACATAACTCAAAATGAAGTGATGCAAATTGATTTCCAATTATCCATAAATATACAGCACTGCCGCAGCAAACCAATCTCTCTGTTCTTCAGATAAGGGCTTCATTGCCGTGTTTGGAGGTCCTAGTCCAGTCAAAGCAGATGTTAAAGAAGGGGAGAGCCTGACCCTCAGAGTGGAGTTTGACGCCTATCCTGCACCGCGCTCCATGTCCTGGTCTTACAACGGGAAGCATCTCCTCAACACCACAGAACATGTCATCACCGTCCGCCGCCATAAATATAGGTGCACTATATTCAGAGAACAACAATGCTGTAGTGTGTGTGTGTGTGTNTCAAATATCGGGTTAAATATCGGTGGGGTGGCCGATGTCCGATATTCAGTTTTAAGGCCGATACAGGCCGATACCGATAGGGGGCCGGTTATATCTTGCATCCCTAGTGCTAACTATTAGGGAGTTATAGCTGGTCTGACACACACATTTTAATATTCAGGTTGCTTAGAATGTTGATAATCAGTAAATGAGTATTGCAATTATGTAATTTTGGAAAAAAAAAAAGCTTATTTCTTAGCAAAGTGGTTCCCAACCCTGGTTCTCAGGGACCCCTGTAGGTTTTAGATATCGCTCAGTTCCAGCACACCTGATTCAAATAAGGGCTCCTACTCTGCAATCAAGTCCTGCAGGACCCTGTTAATTATGAATACTTTTCTGGTGTGATGAAAAATTGAGACATCTAAAACATGCGGAACAGGGGTCATTGGGGAGGAGGGTTGGGAACCACCGTCTTACTATGGAGACATTTTGTAAGTTTTTACTTAAAAATATCTTTACAATAGCCTTTCTATTTAGCCCCTTACCACCGAAACTGTCAGTATTTGGTTGACGTTTGTGGATTGAGGTGAATTTCTTGATGATTTAATGATTAGTAATCAAACAAATGAACACGGAGGCAGGAATCCAAAAATCAAACAAAGTCAAACAAACCAAACCCATGGAGATGTCTGGGGGAAACAATCACGAGGAGGAAAAACTCAATGAGTTGGAGGAAGTTTGACGAGGAACCAGCACTGAAGAAGTGCACACAGAGAGTATTTATGGGAGAGTGAAACAATGAGAGGACTAACGAGGTGATTGGGAGCAGGTGTGAAACCGAGCAGGACAGGAAAGGAGTTAGAGAAAAAGGAGAACACAAAAGGGCAGCAGAGGGCAACAAATGAAAACCTGAAAACTGAAAATAACCAGAAAACACAACAAAATAAGAATTAAACCACTAAAAATAGAAAATATGGAGCAAAGTAAACTGAAAACTCAAAAGAAAAACATAACAGAACCAGAACTATGACAGAACTATTGCATCTATAACATAGCAAACAACTGAAGTGTTATATTCAAGATGGATTTTGTGGATTATCAGAAGCAACCGGCATCCAGCTTAACTCAGACACCGTGTAGGGTGAAAAAAATAAATAAAAAATTAGATAAAAAACAAGTATGAGCATGCGCTACAAGAAAAAGCAGAAGTGTGCTGCAGTTCTGTATTTTGGCCAAAGGTGGCAGTATCATTAGAAATGCTACTTTAACATGCATATCGCCATAATAAGGCTACTTTCCACCATTATGACAGCTCTGTATGACAGACTAGATCC